CTCTCTCTCTCTCTCTCTCTCTCTCTCTCTCTCTCTCACACACACACACACACACACACACCTCTGTAGGAATTCTTCGTAGCTGACTTGGGTTTCACTAGCCAGAATTCCCCCTGAAGCACACCTCTCAGAACAGCCAGCAGCTGCCCAGCACCCTCTGTCTGTCTTAGTCTGAACATGGTGTGGGGTGCCCATGCTCTTCTGCTTCTGTGGGTTGACTGGTGCCTTCCAAGTCTGCTTATTCTGTAATGTATTTATTGAGGTTGTATATCTCAAAGTAATTGCCATTAATTAAATACTTGTCAGATCGCTGCGATAATCTGAAGAAAGTTATTCCTAAGAAAACCAGGTATAATGGTCTCAAAAGAATGTGAGTTGCTTGACAATTTTACTTTTGAATATAGAGAACGGCATGTAAGATAATCATCAACTAGGATGGAAAAAATTCTGTTCTCTGCTTCATGTTAGAAAACAAAAAGCATGTGCCTCATGAGTGAGATTTTTCCAACAATAGAAAATCTAGGATTTCAACCAGTAGGCTTCCTGGCAAAAGAAGGTTCTAGACGCTAACTGACAAGTCTGTACATTCAAACTCCGGGTGAACTATATGAATGTGTGTTTTACATTTTGTAAATCCAACATTGTTGTTTAGCTGTCAGCTGCTCTTCCCAAGTCTGCAGAAGTGGTGTCTTCACTGTTCCTTGGATCCTCTTCTAAGCCTGGAGTGTCCTTGCTACTTGTAATTACCATGTACTTTGGAGGATGCTTCTGACTATAGCACCATATCTTTTTTTTTTTTTAACAAACATTTTCTTGCTTCAGATATTCCTACACTTCTCTCTCTCTTTTTTTTGTTTTGTTTTGTTTTTGTTGTTGTTATGCAGTCTGTGCTTTTTTGGGTTTACAATCACAATGCTTGTGCTCTCTCAATACCTTCTTTTTTTTTTTATCTTTAAGGGTTTTAATTTTTTTATTTTTATTTTTTTAATGCCGAATGCCTTTTATTGAAGGTGGAGGTCTTAAATACATGCTTACAGCACAATGAATGGGAGGACCCAGAAGGGCAGAAGTTCGCTACTGATATTTTACAATCTTGCATCTAAGCTGTTAACGCCCAATATGCAGGATACACAGACAAGGAACTTCCCTTAAGCATTCAGGATGGTAGAACCTGGCAGGGAATTAGCATAGGGAGGATATCAAGGTCAAGGTCAGCAAGGGAGGCAACTCCTACTCTTCTCTTTTAATACCTGAATTAGTCATCCCCATTGAGGTAAGCGAAGATCCCTCCTTAATTTTAATTTGGAGGCTCTATTACTTTATATGTCTATGATAAAACACCTGATGTGAACAGTTTAAGGAAAGAAGAGCTTTGGTTCACAGTTTGAGGGGATATAGTGCATGATGGCCAGGGAAGCATGGGGACAGGAGCATGACATGCTGACATGACATGGGGACAGGAGCATGAGGTGGCCGCTAACGTCACTGCCTCTGTCTGCCTTCAGGCAGCAGTGTAAGATGGGTACTGGGGTTCCTTGGGTGGACTTTCAACTTTCCCTGCTTTTTATTCAGTCTGGGACCTCAGCCCAGCTACTCTTAGGGTAGCTCTTTTCTCCTCAGTTAAGCCTCTCTGGAATCACCCTCCGGGCCCTCCCCAGAGGTGTGTCTCCTAGGTGATTCTGAAGTCCCTCAAATTGACAAGGGAGATTAGCCACTGTGGCAGTAGCGAAAATTACAGTGTGAAGCAGAGACAGCAGTCGCTGGCTATAGTCACCATGAGGAAGGGACCAGAGGCTTAATGTAGGCTTGTCCTGAAGCTCCTTGAAGTCACTGATTTTAGATCGCTATGTGGGTTCAGTTCACAAAAGGGCGGCACAGTGTCCTAGCTCCACAGTGTGATGCTATGATGTGTGTAGACGGGGAGCTGTTAAAGAGAGTTTGATAAATGTTTTCAAATGCTTCCCTTCATTCATGCCTGTTTCCATTTGCTTTCTAGAGCATTTCTGGTGAGCATTCTTTTCTGACATTTACTAAATGTCAACTGTAGTCTGTGCTTAAAACCTTGGCCAAGGGCCAGTGAGCTTACCCATTTGTATTAGCCTGTTAAGAAACATTAAATAAAACGTGAAAATGGAATGGAAATTGCTTTGAAGAGAAATGGAGGCAGACGCTGAAATGAACCATTAGTAGCCTGATATGCATTCTCTGGTTGAGGTCAGAGCTGTGTCATTTTGTAATGTTGCCAGACTCCAAAAGGAAATCCAAAGAAAAAAATTAAAAATAATTCTTTGAGATAGCAGCTGGTTACCAGTTCCTCTTCTGGATCAGCCACTAAGGGCACAGAGGAGGCAACTGGACCACTGTCAGTGACTCAAGCTGAGATTCTCCAACTTCAAGCAAGAGTCAGAGCTGCCATGGCTCACTCCCTTCCTCTGGATACTAGAGCCTCCTGGAGGCACGGATTTATGCAGAATTCCCACTCATGGGAATTTTTCTTATCAACGCAATCAAGAGTATATGTAAAGACATCGGTTCCTTAAATGGCCTTTATTTTTAAAAAGAATAACAATTTGTGAGATAGGATTTGTTACACATCCATGGTACTTACCTTAATAAAGAATTTATCACTGAGTGAGGCAGACTGGCATGTGCTTTAATCTAGTATTGGGAGAATGGAAGTCAAAGGATCAGGAGTCCTATGCCAAAGCTTCAGCTACAAAGCTAATTCAAGTCCAGCTTGGGCTGGCACTGCCTGAGGTGTCTCAAGATGATGATGATGGTGATGGTGATGATGATGATGTGATGATACAGCTCTTAGACATTTCTATGGACTAGCATTTTATACCTTGGTTGCTTCTTCTTATCCATGTGTGTGTCAGGACTTTGCTATGTAGCCCATGCTGGCCTAGAACTTCTGACCCTCCTTCCTGGATCAACCACTAAGTGCTGGGATCACCAGTGTGCACCACCACACCCGGCTCTAATTGCTATCTTAATAGTTGTCTGGACTGACTCACTGTTTAGTCTTCCTGTCTTTCCATTTCCAGCGCAGTATGGACAATAGATTAAGTTAATTGTGCCGCTGAAGCACTCTGTCTTAGGACATTGCTATCATTATCTTGGCACTTATTTCTAAAATGACTTTTTAAGATGCATGGAAAATGCTTCGCATTTAATACCAAATGTGATGTTAGCATAAACGCAGATGCCTTCGGTTCCTGGTCCATGTTTGCAGAAAAGGCTGTTTGCTTTCTGCATGTGTGTGTTAGTCTGTGCCTCCGGAAGAAAACGAAGCATGTGGACTGTATTCTAGCATCAGATATTTACTTTTCTTGAGATTCACAATGGAGTCTGAGAATGGGTTGAAAGGCTAGCCAACTCCCTGCTATTAATTTTCAGTAATTTTAAGGTGCTTTACATTACATATGACCAGCTCTCAGAAGCTTAAAACTTCTTCTTTCAAGACACCAAATAGAATCCCGTTAGTATTTGGACTGTTTACTGTTATTTGGTTGGTTGTGTTTGTTTGTGCTTTTTAATTATGTGTATACAGGGGAGAATGTGCATGTGAGAGGCAGGTACCCACAGAGGCCAGAAGGGGGCGTAGGATCTCCTGGAGCTGGAGTTACAGGCAGTTGTAAGCCACCTGATACAGGTGCTGGGAACTGACTCCTGGTCCTCTGCAAGAACAGTAGTGCATCCTCTTAACCCCCGAGCTGTCTCTTATCCCCTCAACAGCTTTGTCTGCCTTCTCTTTGAATTAAATTTCTGATGTCCCTGGCTGGTACTTAACCAAGTGTTAGGCCGCCTGCATATCACCTGCAGATTTGCTGCTAGGACGATTGCTGTCTTTGCTTTGAATTCCCCTCGAAGCGACAGACAGGTTAGCAGAGAACCAACCATTTGGAACCCTTCCACCTTTGTTCATCAGGGAACCATTCACCTAAACGTTTGCTTTATTTATTGGTCAAAAAAAGTTATAGCATCTCAAATTTTCTTTTTTCGGGAAACGGGTGATGGATCCTTTGTTTTTGTTTTTGTTTTAAGGGTTTCTCCTCTTCAGAAGTCTGAGGTGGTTGAGATGGTCAAGAAACAAGTCAAAGTCATCACACTTGCGATTGGCGATGGAGCGAATGACGTCAGCATGATACAGACGGCCCATGTGGGGGTTGGGATAAGCGGGAACGAAGGTCTGCAGGCAGCCAACTCTTCCGATTACTCCATAGCTCAGGTAAAACCTCGTGACTCTGACACATACCAACACTGCTTTCTCCATCAGCTGGCAGTGAGGAGGGAAATACTAATGCCTCTCCATTCCTCTCCTAGTTCAAGTATTTGAAGAATTTGCTGATGGTTCATGGTGCCTGGAATTACAACAGAGTCTCCAAGTGCATCCTGTACTGCTTCTACAAGAACATCGTGCTCTACATCATTGAGGTAGCAGCGTTAAACTTAGTCCTGCCCCTATCATTCGTAATTCTAACCGTTCTCTTTTTTTCTTTTTTTTTTTTTTTTTTTTGGTTTTTCGAGACAGCGTTTCTCTGCGTAGCTTTGCGCCTTTCCTGGAGCTCACTTGGTAGCCCAGGCTGGCCTCGAACTCACAGAGATCCACCTGGCTCTGCCTCCCGAGTGCTGGGATTAAAGGCGTGCGCCACCACTGCCCGGCTCTAACCGTTCTCTTTATGGAGATCTTTCTCACTGTTTCATGAGCACTTGCTTCATCTTCTCATTTCCTTTTTAGGAAAAAACAGTTGTAAGACTGTGGTGATAATTGTGTTCCCCAAAATATTGTGCACCCTAGTAAACTTATCTGGGGTCAGAGAACAGAACAGCCACTAGATGTTTTTAATCCTTTAATCCTAGTGTTCCAGGGGCAGAGATCTCTGTGAGTTCAGAGTCACACTGGAAACAGCCAGGTATGGTACCAAAGCCTTTAATCCCAGAAAGTGATGTCAGAAAGCAGAAAGGTATTTAAGGTGTGAGGACCAGGAACCAGAGCTGGTTAAGCTTTTAGGCTTTTGAGCAGCAGTTCAGCTGAGACCCATTCAGATGAGGTCACAGAGGTTTCCATTCTGCGGAAACAGAATCAGCTGAGGAATTGGCAAGGTGAGATAGCTGTGGCTTGTTCTGTTTCTCTGATCTTCCAGCATTCACCCCAATACCTGGCTTCAGGTTTGATTTTATTAATAAGACCTTTTAAGATTCCTGATACATAAGATGTATTTTATTTTTGTCTTATGTGAATGAGTGTTTTGCCTGCATGTCTGTCTGTCTCTGCACCATGTGCTTGCAGTGCCCACAGAGACCAGGGTGGATCTCCTGGAACTGGAGTTACAGGTGGTTGTTAGGCATCCTGTGGTGCGGGAGATCAAACCCTGGTCCTCTGGAAGAACAGTCAGTCGGTGCTCTTAACTACTGAGCCATCTCTCCACTTTTTATAATTTCTAAATGTGTTCCAGCGAATAAGATGTCAGCCATGAGAACAGTCATCAACATTTAGACACTAGCTGAAAGTGTCAGGTCACTTTGGTAGAAAGTTGAAGTAGAATTGCTCGTGAGTCATGTTTTCAGTTTTTAAAACCGTCAAGACTATGAAGCTGGAACGTTTGCAGACTGTCTTTAAGCCACTGTTGAGGGGAAGCACACACATGGAAAACTGTATTTAGAGAGTTTCCTGGTGATGGGGGGGAAACGATGAAAGAAAGAGACGACAGAAGTAGAGGATAGCGATTAGTTCTGGTCCAGGGGAGGCTGTGGTGGTATTGTGTTCCCCAAAATATTGTGTACCCTAATAAACTTATCTGGGGTCAGAGAAGAGAAAAGCCACTAGATACTTAGGATAGGCAGTGGTAGCACACGCCTTTAATCCTAGCATTCCAGAGGCAGAGATCCGTCTGTTCAAGGATACAGCCAAGCATGGTGACGTATGCCTTTAATCCCAGGGAGTGATGGTAGAAAGCAGAAAGATATATAAGGCGTGAGGACCAGAAACTAGAAGCATTTGGCTGGTTAAGTTTTCAGGCTTCTAGCAGCACAGTTCAGCTGAGAGCCATTCTGGATGAGGACTCAGAGGCTTCCAGCCTGAGGAAACAGGATCAGCTGAGGAACTGGCAAGGTGAGGAAGCTGTGGTTTGTTCTGCTTCTCTGATCTTCCAGCATTCACCCCAATAACTGGCCTTGGGTTTGATTTTATTAATAAGAACTTTTAAGATTCATGCTACAGGAGGCACATGAGTGCAGCTGGGAAATGAGCTAACAGCATCACTATATGGCATTCTTGTCTTAGATCAGTGACCTTCCTAACACTGTGACCCGTTAATACAGTTCTTCATGTTGTGGTGACCCCCGGGCCTAAGGTTATTTTCGATGCTACTTCATAACCATAATCTTGCCATTATGAATTGTAATATAAATATCTGATATGCAGAATATTTATATTAGGTTCAGTGACCCCTGTGAAAGGCTCATTCGACCCCAGAGGGGGGTTGCACCCCACAGAGTCACTGCCTTAAATCTTCTCTATTAGCCACCCTTTGCTAGCCCTCTGTTTTGGTTTCTAGGGTTGACAAATACGATTTTGGATAAGGAATTTCCCTAAAATATTCTATTTCTAGGCTCTTTCCGTATATCAAAGATGGCATCAGCTTACAAATGAAACCTGAGACTGGGGAGCTCACTTGGTAAAGCACTAGATTTATCAGCACGAGGACCTGAGTTCAAGTCCCAGAGCCCATGTACAAAGGCAGACATGGTGTGGCATGCCCTTGTAGTCTAGGCGACGGAGAAGCTAACCAGCCAGCCTAGCCTGCTCAGCGAGCTCCAGGACAGCATCTGAGGTTGACCTTTGGTCCCCATACACAAGCACATGCATGAGCACACCTGCACACATGCAAACACACATGGACACACAGAGAATTAAAACCTAGTTTTGCCCTGCAGATATTTTGGTATCAGACTAGGCATCAAATAAATACCGGACAAATCAAGTCAAGCACAGGCCGTAACCTCAGCAGCCGGCCAGTGGGCTACGATGGAAGCCACGTTTGTAGTTTAAGTTTTCTAGGTGCTGCGTTAGCAAATGCCACAACAAAAACCCAGGTTGATTTCAGTACCATATTTTAAGTCAATATATTCAAAATATTACCAATCCTCATCAATGTCAAAATTATTAATTTTCTTACACTTGGGTGGAAATTCTACATTCTTCCCTACATGCCCAGTGTTTGAAATCTGGTATTTTTTTTGCCTTGAGTGCATCTCAATTTGGACTAATTACCTGTCGTGGCCTACAGAGGGGAGCAAGCAGCATAGTATTGGCAGATAAGTGAACAAGAAAGGGTTATTCATGTGTTCATATTTTCTGACATTCATTATTTTGTGGGTATGGATGTAGACATGTACAACTTCAGAAGGCAGAAGATCAGAGGACAACTTGCAGGACTTTTTTTTTCTTGTTTGTTTGTTTTTTAAGACAGAGTTTCTCTATGTAGCCCTGACCATCCTGGAACTCACTCTGTAGCCCAGGCTGGCTTTGAACTCACAGAGATCCGCCTGCCTCTGCCTCCCAAGTGCTGGGGTTAAAGGTGCGTGCCATCACCCAGCTCGGGAGTCTATTCTGTCCAGGTCCACCACGTGGGCTCTGGGGATGGAACTTGGCTCTTCAGTCTTGGCAGCAAGCTCCTTTACCTGCTGAGCCATCTCAAAGGCCCTTTTTGTCAATTCCTTGCATAGTTCCAGGGATGGGGACCTGGGGGGGGGGACGGGGATACAAGTTAATGATGGAAAGCTGGGGCTGAGTGGTCTGGGCTCCCTGCTGGAGAAGCTACATCACCCAGAAGCTCCGTGTTCTTGTTATGAAGAGTTGAACATAGAGACAGGGTTATTACATACACCTAAACAAGGAGGCAGGGATATTATGTAGAGATAAACAAGGAGGCAGGGTTTATGGTGTACAGCTGGATACGAGGGCAGGTCCAGCTACTCTCTGTAGGACAGTCTCTGTAAGGAAGCAATCTCCAAGCTCTAAGTATCTGGGGAGAAAGCTGTGGTGGACATTTTCTGCCTACACTCTCAGCACTCACACTTGGCGGCCCGAAGAAGGCTTTGCCATTTCCCTCTGAGCATTGCCCCAGGGGAGACGGCTTTGCTATCTTCTCTGTGAGTCTGGGCTATGGCGTCCTTGACGTGACTGTGTCCACATCACCAGCACACACTCACTCTGTACTTCACTCACTCAGGCCTTCCTCTGCTCCCTACACTTCTTATGTAGTTTAATATCTGGCTCCTAGGTCATCAGAAAGTGTAGCATAGTAATGAACCTCTCGACAGGCTGAGGCATTCCTCAGAAAGCTCTGAGGGATGTGGATAATTTGTTAGGAAAACTGTCTTCCACTCTCTAGGACCTGCCACGCCCTCACAGGTTTGCTGAGGACCCTCTTACATAGATGGCTGTCTGTACCACTTTATCCTCTGTTCCGTGGGCCTTTCTCTGCATCTGTCGGAAGGACGTGGCCTACCCACTTCTTTATGGAAATAAGATCCATATTTTACCGCGGAGATATTTTACTCCACGTCTGCTGTGTTCGTTAGAAACTGCTAGAGAGTTGGCTCAGTTACCTCTGTCAGAATTCTTGTTGTGAGTTAGATTGGGATATTGAAACTTAGTTTTGAGGTATACAGACTACATCATCTATTAGTCACTTAACATCTGTAGTTAGGTTACCATACCCCTAGCTAAAGTAACCAAGTACTTGGAAACATAAGCATCATTGATTACTATTGCTAGATTTGGTCTGGAAAACCTGTGTTTTAATACAAACTTTCAAGGTAATTTTTAAGTTTTGTTGTTGGGTTTTTTTGTTTTTTTGTTTGTTTTTTAGTATTTGAAGTCAGGAGTTTGGTGCACACCAATTATCCTAGTACTTGGGAGACTAAGGCATGAGGATAGCCTGGGCTACCTAGTTAGACTGTCTCAAAAACAACAACAAAAAAAAAATAATGTTTGTTTTCTATATAAATCTGTGGTCCTTCCCTAAAAGGATTATTTTTATTCCCATCCTCTCTATATATCGATAACTTTCCTAATTTTATGTTCTCACTTAAATCATTGAAAGTGTGATACACTTTATTTACATAGATTGTTTTAAGACTTTTAAACCAAGAATTTAAGATCTGTCAGCACGTAGCTATGTATGGAGTCTAATTTTTAATGAAATAAGTTCATATTTTAACCATAGACTAGTTGACAAAAATTTTTTTAAATCTAGATCGACAACAAGAGTGAAGTGTGAAAGCTTAGGTACCATTGAGGAAAATAAAAATGTGTGTAAGTCAAGTGAAAAAGCAGTCTTCACAGCCCATTTCGAACCCAGCACTATATGATTTGTGGTTATCCCCAGCCCTGAATTGACTTGGCTTTGAATGTAAAGCCCCTTCTTAAGCTATTTAACACTGATCACATTCTTAATGGGTTAAAAAGGAAGCGAGATAAAAACTTTCCTGGAAACTTCATTTTTATTTTTCTGGTAGCACTTTTTGGAAATGTATTTTGAATATCATTCAACTGTTGGATGTGGATTGAACTTTTAAATCAATTCCCCCCATACCTAACTTCTGCCAGCTAAAACAAGTTCTGCAGATGTTAATGGCTCATGTCAATACTGAGAATGAATAGGCAGAAAACACATCATTGAATGTCTCCAGCAAGGACAACTGCCAGTCTCGGATCTCTCCTTTTTTTTTTTTTTTTTTTGTGCTGATCAGGCGTGGGAGCAGAGACCACATTGACTGTTTGCAAGCTGCTGCTTAATATGCAGAAGTGCTCCATCAGGAAAATGTCTGTGGAGCTTTAGCTGACCCGCCTCTGGGGGGTGGGGGATGTTGGAGGGGAGCTTGGCAAAGAATTCATAAAGCATGATCTTAACCCCAAAGAGTGTAATAGATTATCAGCAAAAGCTGCTTTTTTGTCATTGTCCCGCCGGGGCTATCACTAGCTAGCTCCTCCGTGGCTGTCAATTGCAGACACACACACACACACACACACACACACACACACACACACACACACACACACACACACACACACAGGTTCAGCAGATGGCAATAGAAAGCCTGCTCAGGGTCGCTGCCTGGCAGTGGCTGTAGGTGTTCACTTAAATCATTGGCTCCTTCTAAAAAGTTTTTTTCTTTTTTCCCCTTCTGAATCATCTGATCCCGTCCTAACAAAGAGGAGCTTTACTTTAAGACAGTTGGTGGCATCTAGGTTTTCTTAGCCCCCCAAACAATGTAGCGGTTCCCCTTTCCAGGAAAGTCATTAAAGTCAATAAGGTGGTACTTTCCCAGTATGCTGGGAAGTAAATTCCCTGGGAATTGAAATCATCTGGGCGCCACCCCCACCCCACCCCCACCCCTGAAGGCTCTCCATCCAAGGCTTTGGTTGGCTGAAAGGGTGGGGGAGCTCTGTGTGCTTATGGTAATTCAGGTTCTGTCTTCCTTAGGGTCGTGTTTCTAAGATATGGCTTCAACTGCAAGTCTCAGGCTAACCTGACCGTGGTAGACTGCTTTCCTGTCAAGGACTTTCTCTTTCTCCTTAAAAGAAATGTAGAGAGCAAACCTTTGAACACCAAAACATTTGCCTAAAGATGTACCACTGTGTTGAAAGACTTGGCCCTAATTTAGACATTCCAGTCCGTTCCCTTTTAAAAAGAAAAGCAACAGGAAGATGAACCTTTTGAAATACAACGGATAAATTTCTAAGCATATGTCATATACCTTTCATTCAGAAAGTACGGCAGTTGTTTCATTCAGAAAGTACGGCGATAAAAATGTGTTAGCCCCCATTTGAATGTTTTGTATCATAGCATACAGTCTGCTTATATATTTTAAAATACACTTTGAACTCAAACTTGCTGGTTTATTTGTGAGTTCCTTTGTGTTTAAAACTTTCTGTCTGTTAATTGACTTGAAGGGGAGGGTCTGAAAATCTAATCTCAAGGTACCTAAATTAACAAGAGAAGGTTACATGCAAATAAGCTAAAGGTCCATTCACCTCGATAATTATTGACCGTATACAGTTTATTAACATAAACTTTCTCAGTACCAATGCTTTAACAATGCATTTAGAATTAATTATTCCCCGTGATCGTGTGCAGATCATGTCCATTAGACTGATTTGGAGACATCCACTCGTAATACTTGTTCAACCATTCCCTTCCACTATAAAAAACGAAGGCCAATGCAGCAACTGTTCATTGTGGTGGTGGGGGGTGGGGGGGTAGGGGAGTCCTGAGTTCATACTGATGAATGTTGAATTTGTAGCCGTTCATGCTTCCATAATGAGGTTAAAGGAAACATGAAGAATAGCAAGGTTCCTGGGCCTCTGAGTGCTCTGTGGAGCCGCAAGTCAAGTTCTTCCCTGCTGTCTGCTAGTGCTGAGCTGTGTGGATGTGTAATCTTCTTGCTGGGCTAGGCTTCTTACTCTTCCAAGTCTGCTTGATTCTTAATTATACTTCGGTTGGCTTTTTTAAATGCATTCTTTTTTTCAAGGTATTGCCAATAATCACTTTGTATTTGTTTCAAATATGCTGAATGAAACTCTCTATTACTCCTACATTTTGTTTCTAAGTTGGGATTTCTCTTTCAAAGAAAATTACACACATATGAAAACATATGTTGTAGTAATTAAAGATTGGCCTTTGTACAAGCATTAAAGTTCCACTCACAAGCATCTGTCACTCTACCTCCAGGGGATGCTATGCTTCCGGTCTCCTGGGGTACCTGCACTCACGTGCACATGCCCACATGCAGACTCAAATACCTATACATAATTAAAAATAAAAATTGTAAGTTTAAGTTTAAAATATTACAATATATAAATTCAAATTTAACATTCTGATGGCAATAATTATCAATAAAATTTCAATAAGAACCATATAAAAAAGAAAAAAGGAAACATATTTAATGCATTAGGTTTTACTTGAAGGATTTATCCTAAGGAAAAAAGAAAGATAGGTAAGGTTTCAGTTAGGAATCATTTCTGATAACAAGAGCTGTTAAGCCAGCAAAATCTCCACACTGCAGAAGTTCTGAATCCATTAAAAGTGTGTTAAGGAGTTGTGAAAACTCAAATGCTCTTTGTAATGTTAAAGGAAAGAAGTAGGGTGTGACACTATATACAGCTGGTCTCAAGTAAAATAAACCTGTGACATTATTTATATAAACTACACACAAGACACAGAAGAAAATGATGATTTTATTACTGCAGGAAGTTAGTTCCTAAGTAAATAAGTATAACATCTATAATAAAAAATAATCTTTAACTGAATCCTTTAAAGGGGGAATTAAAGCTATGAGAATTTAATGGCATGTAAATATATTCACTTGTAGAAATACGATAATACCTATTTTTTTTTTAATCTGTGATTGCTTGCTCATGCAGAAATTTAAATTTGGCAAATTGGGTAAATTCTGTCTCAGATGGCAGCTATATAATGAAAGTGCCCCTTTAAATCAAAAGCAAAGACAAGAAATGTCATTGTCCAGAGGCCCACAAATGATCCGTCAGTGCTGCTTTTCCGGGTTCGATGTGTTGAGATTCTGTGTCCTAATTCTGGGACTTGTTTTCTTCCCAGATCTGGTTTGCCTTTGTCAATGGCTTTTCTGGACAAATCCTCTTTGAGAGATGGTGCATAGGACTTTATAATGTGGTAAGTTGAGCACATTTGATAATGCCAATTTGTTTAATACTGAAGATAAATGTCATTCCCGTCATCTGGCCATGTGATGTAATGGGCAGTATGTCCCTTCAGATGTTTACAGCGATGCCTCCCTTGACGCTTGGAATATTTGAGAGATCATGCAGAAAGGAGAACATGTTAAAATACCCTGAGTTGTACAAAACGTCTCAGAATGCTCTGGACTTCAATACCAAGGTAGGAGCTGGTGTCCTCCCATGTGTTCAGAGGGATTTTCTCTGTTGCTACAAGCTTGGGCCATCTGGCCTGCCTCAGTCAAGAACTCCAAGGTACCGTGTGAGGCAAGTCTTATGAAGGTTCTGAGTATGGAGGGCAAAGGAGTTTTGTTGGTTGAGTTGGACTGTTGGGGGTTTTGTTATTGTCATTAGTTTGTTTTGTTTGTTGGGGTTTTGTTCCATTCATTCCCATTCAAGGTTCAGGGGCTCATTTTTCTTTATGGCTGAAGGAAATGCTGCCATGTAAATGTTCCACGTTTTTACTGTCCATTCATCTGCTGGTGAACATTTGAGCTGATTGTACTGCTTGAGTTTAAACTCTGCCTAAAGCATCACAGGCTACTGTCACCTCCTGTGATCTGTGATACTTAGTCACTCCAGCAAGAGAAGATTTCGTTTCTGCATAGTTTACTTTCTGGCAAGTGTATCTTCTAACACGTTTCCATACTAGTATAATGTAGTGATTCAGGTTTCTGTTTAATGTCACTGAAAGGATGAATTTAAAATGGCAACAACGAAGGTAGATGCCATAATATTTATGTATTTGATTAGTAGTAAAACAAATGAACAAATATAATACCCTTTTACTGAATCATTTCCACTTAATTTAGTGCATGTTCAGTAGTAAATTAGTGACAGATATAACAGCAATTCCGTGTCTTAAATTTACAGACATTTAGCATAGGAACTTTTGCTTCCTTTTTTTTTTTTTTTTTTTAAATCCTGGCGTGATTGGACACCGGACGGCCTGGGAATTGAACCTGAGTCCTCTAGGATATCAGTCAGTGCTCTTAACCACTGAGCCACCAGGACCCACCTAGTGTAGGGACTTTTAACATGGATTAATTCATAAGGCTCTCTAGTGCTATTTATTCTCAGTGTACCGAGAACATAGTGAAACAGGCCTGTTAGTGCCTTTGCTCTACACACCGTAAATGGTAGTATTGATATATAACCAGGAAGTTCGTTTTCTTATGAGACTCAGTCTTCATGAGCACACTGCATGGATGTCCAGCAGTACATGTGCATATAGCTTGATAGCTTTGGGTTCAATCATTGAAACCAGTCAATTAAAACATCAAACACCCTACAGCTTGCTTAATCTGTACCATCGGTTCTGAAAAATGTATTTTTAGTGGTATATTCTTAAGCTGTTTCTTCATAGTATAAAATATCTAAGTTAACATTTTAATATTTTATTTTTTTTAGGTTATTATTTATTGTGAACAGTTTGTATCAAATTCTCCCCGCATTGCTGGCATGGTTTTCATTATCTATGGTGAACATTTTCAAATGATGAAAAGCTACAGTCAGGGCGTATGCCGTGGTCGTGAGCTCCTGTTTTACTATAAAAAATCATCTGGGAGCCAAGTGCAGGCTGCTACACTGGCAATAATTCTCAGCAAACCTAGTGAGCTTTATCAAGCTCAGGTCCAGGTCCTTGCCTTCCATAGTTTGGGCTCTGTGGTGCTGTCTCAGACGTTAGCTTCCAGCCACAAACATGACTGTGCCCCTCTTGAATGAAAGCATGTCTCGATCCTCCCAGGATTACCCAGTCATCCCTGAGAAGCTACATCCTCTCATGCCCTGTCACACATGACAATTATGGGCACAGTTTTATGGTCAGGAAAAGAAGAAAATAGGTAGCATGCAATGTTGACATAAGAGTAACTTTTTCCATCTATCTTTTATTGTTGAAAACTATACGTCATTGTCTGTAGAGCCCGGTCATTTAGAAAACTCCAGATCAACTCAATTGAGCTACACAAGTCCCATATCTCTGTATGTGTTTAGCGTATATATTCAGCTTACCATCTATTTCTCTAGGGGGTTATAGATTTCTAGCAAACGATTTCAGCCAAAACTGTTTGATTGCATTCCACCTAAGTGTTTTAAAATTCAGGAACAAATGGTTACAAAATGCATAGTTGTCTACACAGCGGTTGCCGAGGGTCCCAAGTGTGGAGACATTGTCCCCTTGAATGATGAGGCTTACATTTGTTATGGTAAAAGGGGTCGGAGGCGCTGAGGTCATGACAGGGGTTAAAAGATTAGCGTGTGACAATAAGTGTCGGTCGGGGGAATGGAAAAGTAGAACTAATTTTTCCTGCACCCACCTGTGCTTCCTGTCAAATAAAAACGTGTGGTAATGGCCGAGTGAGGAGAAGCAGCAAAGGTTAATGAGTAACACAAGTTCAAATGTGTAAAGTATTGGAGCGTAAATTGGATCATACCATCCAGCGTGGCTGGGTGAACTCACAAAGGAGATTGAGATCACAGTGGAAAATTTTGGGAGGCAGGCAACTTAATTTCTGTTGTTTGAACAGCTTAGAACTATTAATACACGCCAATTGTATTTAACATTAAGCTTTGTTTGCAAGAAGCCATTTTAAATGATGAAGCTACAGCTGCTCAGGGGCCCATAAAGAGTCTAAGCAGTTTTCTATAACTTAATCTCTCACATTCTGTTACAAGTCCCGATGATGTCTGCTCTCCTGTTCGTAATACACAAGACGTAAAAAGTAATGGCTGTTAAGTGGCTGTGGTGATTGTCTGAGACTTGGTATTGACAGATGTTAAACAATTGTAAAAGCCTTTGATAAATTCAGACATAGTCAGAATACTTTATTTTAATGAATACATAATCTAAATGTTAGACTTTGTGCTTTTTTTTTTTTTTTACACTCTATGCAAGACAGAGAAAGCAGTTTTATATATTTGTACCACCGAAGCAATACAGAGTAGTGGGATGGGGGGGGGCGGATTTCCCAGTCATAGTCTTTTAAAGGTCTATTCTTCTAGAGTTATGAAAAAAAATCCCAGTGTAAGAAATTCCAGGATCTGCATTTGTTATAAGATTTTTTTTTCCCTTTGGTGGGCAGAAATTTAAACTTTTGATAGTGGAATTTTTTTTTTAAGTAGAAAAAAAAATTTCAAGTGAAGCTGAAAAAACATCTTGAGAAACATAAAAATAAATAAATGACCCATGAACGTCTACGGCAGAGAGTGTCTGTCAGTTCTATTAATTCACAGTGGTGGCCCCGGCAGAAACATGTTTTTGTGCATCCAGCCCATAGATAAAAAGCAAGGGCAGAGGTCACAGCACGAGTTTATCGCGAATGGTTCTCATGGATTCCTGTTTTCCCTCAGGTTTTCTGGGTTCATTGTCTGAATGGCCTCTTCCACTCCGTTATTCTCTTTTGGTTCCCACTCAAAGCCCTTCAGTATGGTAAGTAGAAAGGGTATGAATGCAAAGAGGTGCTGTCTCGCCCCTTCGGCAAAGGACCTCATTGTCGATGTGTGTTCTAAGTTATGGCGGTGTTCCCTGCCGGGGCGTTTTCCTTCCTCGAAAATACTGTGCATCCAAAAGTTGTGCACACAGTCAAGATGTTTATTATGCCTTTAGAAGTCAAGTGATTTAATCTATGCAAAGCCCTTCTTTTTACCCCTCATGCTTCCCAAACTTGCAAACTTCAGGTCTTCCCGCCGCCCTTACAAGACGATGCTGTGAAGATCGTAAGTGCTAACGTCTTACGTCATCTGTTTCTCGTACTAGGCGGCTTATAGAGAGCACTTTAAATTCAGCCTGATCCGTTGGGCTGGCATTTTCAGGTGAACTTGAGCTGACATTTTTAATGTGTCTCCCCCCCTTCGTCTTGGAGTGCGCACTCTTTTTTTCTCGGCTAGTTTCAAGGGAGTGATTTTATTCCATCAGTTTTGAAAGAGAGGATCATGGTGTACTTCCTCTGTCCATAAAAATGATGAAGTGGCTACTCTAGGGAGGAAGGATGTCTGTCAAGCCTAGCCTGGTGCTTGGAGTCCCAGGGCAGACCTCTTCCCTGGGGTGCTAAGGAAGCACTGGCTCTTCAGTACTGTGCTCCCAGGCTGCAAGAATATAAACGTTGGCGCGTTCTCCGCTCAAGTCTCTGTGAGTCCTTCCTACTAAGTACAGGCATCCATCTGTCCCCACCGGCTGTGAACTCGTGGTTGTTCGCATAACACACCACACTTGCTGTTCTTGCCCCTTTAACGGGGCCTTCCAGAAGGACCTTGAAAACACATAAACAAAACCAAGTATCTCAAGGCTTATCATCCTTATAACAAAATCCTCCACCTCCCGAGTCCTGTGTGTTCTTCCCCAGAGAGGCTGTGACCAGAGAGGCTCCTCTCTCCCTCCGATCACCCCTGTGCCACTGCTGCGGTGCCCAGTCCCCCTCGTCACCCTTATGTCCGCACACAGCTGGCCTAACCTGGTGTGAGGTTTGGGCCCTCTTTCTCCCCTAAGCCTCAGCATGCTGAGGAGTGAGTACCTGCCGTGCTCAGGACGGTGCCTGCCTTCCCACGGGTCCCCAGTCAGCTGCGGCTGGATTACTGTGGCTCACAGCGTGAATGTGAATGTGTAAGTGTTCCAGAGAAACACTTGGTGGTGGTCTCCTGCCTAAGCCGAAGTTTTAATCTCCTTTGTTCATTACTCAGGAAATTGTAACAGTAAATACTTCTCAGTGTCAAGACCATGGAGAAGAGTTTGTTTTCTTATTGGGGTATAATTAAGTTACTGCAACATTTACCATTTCAAAATACACCATTCAGTGGTTTTTAGTATGTACATTGAACTATGCGCACGTCACCATCATATAATGCCATAATGTTTTTAGCACCCCCAGAAAGAAATCCTTCGTCTATTAGCAGTCACTCCCAGATTCTTCCTAGACGCCTCATAGCCCTTCGAAACTACTAATTTTTCTATCTCTGTGAACTTGCCTATTGTGAACATGTCAGATAAGTGGAATTATGTCCATAAGCTTGGCTTTTCCAAGTTGTAGTATCGATCAGTACTTCATTCCCTTTTCTGGTTAAATAATATTCCACTGTATAGATATACCATTCTTACCCAGTAATCGGCTGATGTACATTATGTTGTTTCTGTTTTTAGTAATCAGCTGATGCACATTATGTTGTTTCTGCTTTTTTGAAGCAGTCAAATACTGAAGTCCAGGGTACAATTCAAGTTATCCTGACCTTAATGAAATTCACCACATAAAGTTAATTTTCAAAATGTAAAAATCAACATAAGAATTAAAAGCAAGATATTGCCAATCCATGAAACTACTATTTCAACATTCTAAACTAGAAAAGGGAAATTTAATGTCAAAAATAAGCCAAGCCAAACAGCATACAGTATACTTTAGACATGCCAGATCTCTGTGTTTTCCTGGGAAACAGTCCACATCAGCCGGCTTCAGCCCAGCCGTCCCCAGCAGCTGCTGCCTGGGGTAACCAAATCCAGACAAGTCTCGAGGGCCCTTGGCTTCTTCCTCCAAGAATGAGTTATAGGTAGCACAGGCTTTGCGTTCCCAGTTTGATGATGGGGGCTCTGTAATTGTTTCGCCTCTTTCCCACTTTGGGATGAGTGCTAGGAGATCGGGAGACGTGTTTTGCTCTGAAAGGATGCAGGAACTAGAGTCCGTAGAAGTCCATACAATATAAAACGTAATAATCATTCTTAGCGGAACAGTTCCAAGAGTTGTCTGTAGATCTCTTTTAAAATTCAAGAGTGTTGGGAAGCCTGTGAAGTCAAAATTTTGAGTGGTTATCAATTTTTGTAATAGTCAGTTTTTGTCTTTTTCAGTTATGATACAAACCCGGTGTGGGATAAGACATCTGGTGCTTGGGTGAAAACAATGGCGGTGAGGTAGTGCAGGTCCGCGAACTCTTGCTGCTGTATACCCAGTGTCACTTAAGGCTGCCCTTGAAGACACTGTAGACCACTGCTCTGATTAACCCTTGAACATTGGTGTGTCGAGATAAAGTTCTGAGGGACAGACTGGGCAGGCATAAAAACACGTCTGTTATTGTCCCAGAGCCCAGTGACTTGCATTGTGGGAAAGATTGCTCTCTTCATGAGCTGAGCCACTGCCTTCCACAGGATTACAGTCTTGCATGATGCCATGGAATCCATGGATTTTAATGTAACCAAGCACACAGAGTTCACTAGTGGAGTTTCAGATTCCATGCTGACAACTAACCTTTAAAAAACAAAAACAAAACACAGAGCTCTACCTCCTGGGTGGGGGGGCGGGGGAAGCAGCTTGTTGAGTCTTGATGTAGTATAAAAGAATCATTGGAAAAGATTACCAAAATAAACACAGACACACCCATCATAACTCCATGTGTATCTCTACAAATCCATATTTCTCTGAAATATTGTAACCAAAGCAACATGTGAGAACCCAGCTGCATTCTGTTAAATTCTGGACATTAAGGAGATTAATGTAAAATAATGCCAATTTTCTCACTCATTTTTGTTTAGGAAAATAGCTATTTTTCATAAAATGTGTTTATATGACTTTGTACTGGGTTTATTACTGTTATTTTTAGATAAAATACAGATTTTTTTTAATGTTCTGTTTTAATTTCTGATTTGGTAAGTACTGATAGCTATAAAGCATGTATGCAGAAGCTCCGGAGGATATGCAATCATTTCTGAGTGAATCCAAAGACCAGGAATGAAAGCCAATAGTTAACAGAGCCAAGCCAAATGCCTTTGCCTCGCCCCAGACAGCACATGTAACTTGTGTGAACGTGAAAACCACGCAGAGTAGGGAGCCTCATGCTCCCCATGATGGAGATGAGTTCCCCGGGAATTGAGTATCGATATTTTCAACCAGTAATAGCATCTCTTGGTTAGTTGCTGTTCCTTCATCTACAATTATTTTTTGTTACTCAATCGTAGAATAACAAAGGACTTTAAATATGCCCAGAAGTCCAGCCTCAAAGCATCATGTGCGTGGGATCAAGTTGGTGCTCCCTTGTGTCCCAGCATGGTTTTTCACAGATCCCTCTTGGTTCCATGTTAATAGCTTTATTGAGAAGGGTCCTGTGACTCTCTCTGATGCTGCCAACCTTCTGTCTCTGCCCTGAGACATCATTCTGTCCATGCCCAGAATTTTAAGCTTTCCAAATGATTAAGAGTTCAACATTTTTGTGTATTTTTTTATTTTCACTTTGTGGAGTCTAAGAATTGGTTAGCAAGTCGGATTTCTCGTTTGGTATTTAATTTGTGGCCCATCTGTAGCAACTTTGTGAGGAATAACAGTCTGGTCTCAAAGATACACTTCATTTCTAACCCCACCGAGCGCCTCTAGGTCCTTCTTGTGTTCAAAATGACGAAGTTGCTTTCTTGATTTTGGACCTTCCTTCATTTTCTTCCTCACAAGCCTGTCTTCTTTTCTTGCAGGCACGGTATTTGGAAATGGGAAAACCTCAGATTACCTGCTTCTGGGAAACTTCGTTTATACTGTGAGTTCAGCCCCTTTGCGTGTTTCTGTCTAAACCACTGCCTCTTACTTTTGCCCCTTTCCTTTCAGACTTAAATGTGTGCGGGGTGGGCTTCGGGGTCACTTAGAGTTTCCTTTAAAAGTGAAATTAAGGCATTTGGAGTGTTAAGAGCTTCCTACATAAGGTTTTGTTGGGTTTCTTCTGTGTATTTGGTTTTTGTTGTTGTTTGTTTTGTTTTGAGATAGGACTTCACTGTGTAGCCCAGGCTGGCCTTTAGCTCAAAGTCCTCCTACCTCAGCCTCCCAAGTGCCAAGAATGATTGTCAGGCACATGTACCACCATACCTGCTCTTGTAAGTGTGATTTGGATTCACTGGCTTTAGAAGATTTCTGTTTCTTTGATTTTCGGTATTCCCTCTTTACTCTTACTAGCTGTTCCCGTTTTTTCTTCATTTTTAACTTTCTCTTCAAATTTATCTCACTGCCATCGCTAATATATAGTATAGTATAGTATAGAGTAGTGTAGTGTAGTATGTATAGTATAGTGTAGAAGAGAAGAGAAAAGAGTAGAGTAGAGTAGAGTATATATATTTGGCTTCCTAAATGTTACCAAGCATCATCAAAGTATCCATGGGTGTGTAACCAGTGATTTCTTTAGAGGCTTATGCTAACTAACATTAGAGTACTCTGAGGCTGGAAAAAATGGCTCGATGGTTAAGAGCACTGGCTGCTTCTGAGGACTTGGGTTCAGTTCCCAGCACCACATGATGGCTCACAGCCATCTGTAACTCCAGTTCTGGGGGTTTTAGACTCTCTTCTGGCCTTGGCAGACACCAGGCACACAAGTGGTGCACACACATACATGCAAGCAAACAGTCAAACACATTTGATGTGTTTTTAATGAGAGTGATCCACGGGCTTCTGTAACGTTCTTTCCCACAGCTGCCAAAGAGCCACCAAGTTCTTCCCACTGCCTCTAAGATGCCAGGAAACACTCAGACCGTTTTTTTTTTCTACTAAAACTCAAAAGGTCTCTGGAATGCTAATGCCCATAGTTACACAGTTGAATCCATTACACAGACCTTCCAACCTGAGTTCTGCATTCTGTAACCAGCCCTCTCTCTATTCCTTGTGTCACTCACTCACTCACTCACTCACTCTTCAGCCTCTGTACGGAGAAAGTGTGGCCAACCAGCCATTGGTGTGGCTGACTCTGTGATAATGGTGCTCAAATGTCATTTTGAGCCTGAGAGTATAACTCAGGCAGTTCAGGCCCCAGCACTGAAAACTAAAGTATGCACATCTCAAGTGTTGGAATAACTGAATGATGAGAAGTTAAGTTCATGTGTGTGCTGACTTGTTTGAACTCTCAACTCCACACAATTTAGAAGAGAGTCTTCGTGGGGAATTGTCTAGATCCAGTTGGCCTATGAGGCAGGAAGACCCTCTATTGAATATGATAAGCAGCATTTCATAGTTTGGGCTTTGCATTATATAAAAATAGAGAATTCACCGGGCGGTGGTGGCGCACGCCTTTAATCCCAGCACTCGGGAGGCAGAGGCAGGTGGATCTCTGTGAGTTCGAGGTCAGCCTGGTCTCCAAAGCGAGTTCCAGGAAAGGCACCAAAGCTGTAATGATGACTAGAAGCTGGAACCGGAAGCCAGGTCGAATCAAATGACTCTATATGCCTTTCTTTGGGGTGTTTTATCACAGCAACAGAAGTGATACTCACGTAGCCAGAGGGCTTGAGGTTTGGGAAATCTTGGATTTCTTTCCTGGCGTCTTCCCATTGAAGGAGTAAAAGAAAAGCACAGCCATATTTGAGAAGATTATATATATACTTAACTAGGTAGGTGGGGAAAAAACCCACAGTTGATGTTATGGCTGTCTCTTGGGAACACACTAACGTCTCGGGTCTCAAGAGAGTGCTTTTCTTTCATTTTATCACTTACTGAAAATTTTATGTAGCTTAAGCTAACTACTATTCACTAATACAAGTTTGATGTCTGCAGATATTAATCATGATTTACCACCAGTTATCCTGATGAGAAAATACAACTGTAACCCTAGACCTTAACTTTTCAACCCTGCTCAAAAATGTCGAAGCATGTACTGTCTCCAAAACCTGAAAGTAGAAGTGGACACTATGGGCATTGGTAATCACCACGATTCGGCAGAAAATACATTTTCAGTGATATGAATTAATCCTAAGGCCCAGAGTTGCCTTGACTCACAAGGTTTCAGTTTTCTACCTGTAGTTATAGATAGATCGCAATGATATGAGTGCTGGTCTAAGTGTTCCACATTCCGTGTTTTAATCAAAAACAACCTTGTGAGGAAGAGGTGCTCCTTGGCTTTTCATCACTTCGGACAAATATCTGCACAAAATAACTGAAGAGAAAAAGTTTATTTGCTCACAGTGTCGAAGGTGTCAATCCATCATGGTGGGAAGATGGATGACTGATCTCGGTTGTCAACACACTTGGGAAGAGGAAATCTCAAGTGGGAAATGAATTGCCTCCATCAAATTGGTCCATAGACATGCTGTGGGGCATTCTCTTGATTGCTAATTGATGTGGGCGGTGCCATCTCTGGACACATGGGCTTGAGCTGCATAAGACAAGTAGCTGAATGTGAGCCTAAGAGAAGTCTCTCTGGTCTCTGCTTCAGTTCCTGCCTACAGGTGCTTGACTTGAGTTCCTGCTCTGATTTTACTCCATGATAGACTGTAACCTTTCCTCCCCAGGTTGTTGTTTGTCAGGGTGTTTACCACAGCAACAGAAAACAAATTGGTACCAGAAGTGGGGTCTTGCTCTCACAGGCCTTACCATGTTGGTTGTGGGGAGCATTGTAGAGCTTCAGGCTGGAAATGGCCTTGAGTGCTCAGAGCTTAATGGGCTACTCTGTGAGAGCTTGAAAGAGAAAACGACAGACACTGAAGCCTGACTTCGGAAGTTACAGAGAGAAGTTTGAGAGTCCCTCAAAGACTCTTGGGGCCACTAGTAGAATATTTTGAATTTCAGAGCTACAGTTTCTGGTCAGCTGAGGCTGAAGAATCAGCTGCGATTAACAAGAGGACCAGCAGCACAGAAGCAAAATCTTTGCTTCGCTAGGACAAACAAAAGATTGATGCTGGTCAGCGGGGGCTGGAAAACTGCCGCAGTGATTAATAAGACACCATCATCATTGGGGTGAAATCTTTTGGGGAGTGTTTCTTCAAGGCCAGTGTACAGTGTGGGACCATTGCTGCATACCAACTGGCTGGAAAACTCCACAAATAGCATGTGAGGGTCTCCCAGGTGGTTCTGGTTTTGAAGGCCTGACGGGTCATGAAGAGCAGTCAAGGCTTGGCCTTGTGTGAGAGGACTAGCGTCTCCCTGAAGAGAGGCCAGCAGAAGCCAGTGTTCAAGACACAGCCTCATTTACAGTGGAGACCCTAGGATTGAAGGGGTCATGGGGAGAAACTGAGGCTGAGCACGGGGAAAAGCCATTGGTGAAAGTGTAGCTTCAGTTTCAGTCAAAAACCCAGGATATTGGAGACGCCAGGACTCTGAGATGATTGCCACAGAAAACCGGAACAGGGAGTTATGGTAGAATGGAGAGGCTCACACTGTGACAGTCAGAGAGAGAGAGAGAGAGAGAGGAGAGAGAGGAGAGAGGCAGGCTTCCTCCCTTTCTGCCCTTTTCTCCATCGGGCCCTCACCTTGCAGGATGACACTTTCCACTACCAGAGTGAGTTTTCCTTTAGACAGTGCTTTCTGGAAATGCCCTCACAGACAACCCCAGTGTGGACTACTAGTCTCCCATGTGCTTCTCAGTCCACTCATGTTGACGATCAAGATTAGTCCTACAGGAGGTACGCCTTAACAGCTCCAGTTTCAGGACGAAGGAGCTGAACATACTGATGAGTGATCTTAGCCCATTCATTAACCGAAGCGGCTTGTCATCTGACACCAATGCAGGTGTATTGAACCACTGCAGTGTTCGTATGAGAGACCCAGAGCTGTGGTGATATTTTATGTGTGCCCTAATTAAGTTTATCAGAGGATCAAAGGAAAAAGCCAGCCACTATCGTAAACATAGGGGTCAGGTAATGGTAGCACATGCCTTTAATCCCATCACTTGGGAGGCAGGGCTCGAGTCTGGATCTCTGTGAGTTCAAGGCCACACTGGGAACAGAGGCAGGCTTGGTGGTACACACCTTTAATCCCAGCAGTAACCATAAAGGTCTGGAGGTCTATATAGTCAGACAGGAAGTGACAGAGCTGGGCAGGAAGAGGAAGTGATGTAAGTAGGTGGAAAGAGGAAATGAGTTGGCAGAACAGAAAGGCATACAGGCATGGGTACACAGGAAGTAGGTCTTTTTTGACTGGGGATCTCCGAGTGGTCAGAACGTGGCTGGCTTCTTTCTGCTTTTCTGATCTCTTGGTTTTAACCCCAATATCTGGCTCTGGGTTTTGCTTTGTTTTGTTTTTTTATTAATAAGACCATTTAGCACTTCGTCTTACACAGAGTAGTCAAGGTAGCTTTTGTTTCCTCATTTCAGAATTACCCATTGTCTTAATCAGGATCAGGGTTTCATCACTGCTATGATGAAACACCGTGACCTAAAGCAACTTGGGGAAGAGAGGGTTTATTTCACTTACTCATGTACATCACTGTTCATCAGAGGAAGTCAGAACAGGAACTCAAACAGGGCAGGAACCTGGAGGTAAGAGCTGATGCAGAGGCCATGGAGGAGTGCTGCTTACTGGCTTGCTCCCCAAGGCTTGCTCAGCCTGCTTTCTTATAGAACCCAGGACCACCAAGCCCAGGGGTAGTCCCACCCACAACAGACTGAGCCTTTCCACGTCAATCACTTATTAAGAAAATGCCCTACAGGCTTCCCTATAGCCTGATTTTATGGAGACATTTTGTCAGTTGAGGGTCCCTCCTCTCAGGTGACTTCAGCTTGTGTCAAGTTGACCTAACACTAGCCAGGACGGCCATTTAGTCACCACAAATGGTGTGTGTTTCAAGAAGTGGCTCCTACTCTCATCTCCTACATTTGCAAGATCATCCCTACATAAAGTTCCAGAGCAAAGACTTAGATTCCTAAACACATCGTTGTTTTACTTCTATAATTTATCTTTAAAAATCCAAGAAGTGAGCTTTTAGTGAACAAGATTCCGTTAAAGAAAGCTTGAAACTCCAAATTAACATTAAGCACGTGCTATTCATGAATTGTCCAGAGTAGAGATAGCAGGGCCCTCGGTGGCCCTCCTCGAGGGACCCTGAGGCTGTGGATGTGAGCAGAGGCAGGAGAGGGCAGCAGGAGCCGTGCCGATGGCCGCTGTTACGGTGACCTACTGAGTGCCAGCCACCTGCTCCGTGAGTTTGATGAGCTGGTCTAATTCAGACCTGTTCGTTCTTTGGAAGGTCTCTCCGTCACTTGATAGATCATGATACCCACCACACCATATTACGAAACAAAGTAACACTTTCCCTTTCTGCTTTTAGTTTGTAGTGATCACTGTGTGTTTGAAAGCGGGACTGGAAACCTCCTACTGGACGTGGGTAAGGAAATCTCTAATCACAGGCCTCTTTATAACAAAGCCTGCAGTTAGTGATTGGGGAACCTTGGGTATGGGAGGAGGGGAACTGGGGATTATGGGTTGAAAACACTGAGTTAAATGAGTTTCTTACTGAGGCCGCTCAGGCTTTGAAGTCAGTATTGCACACTCTTGCCACCTCCCAAAGATGGAGACTTTCGGGTTAGTGACGTCACAGGACTGGTGTTCCATAGGAAACCTGTCAGATAATAATTCTGAAGAATTATTAACAATGAAACTAGTGAGAGGTAGCATGCTTTTTTACCAGAGTAACCTTGGATCGACAGCCCCCAGATAAGGAAACAGAGACTTATTATTAATTATGAAAGCTTGGTCTTTAGCTTAGGCTTGTTTACAATTACCTCTTATAACTTAATTAACCCATATTTTTTAAATCTACATTCTGACACATGGCTCGGTTACCTCTCCTCAGGATGACCCTTTCTACTTGTTCCAAGGCTGCTGGTGAATCCTACCTACATTCCTCATCCTCAGCCTCCTTCTCCCAGGAAATCCCACCTATCCTCTCCTGCCTAGCTATTGACGGCCATTCCACTCTTTATTAAACCAAACGGAAGGCACCTTGGCAAAGACACATCTTCAGAGTGTACAAAAGTATTATCCCGCAACAGGGAGAGATCTCTCCTCAGAAACTTACACATGCACAGTCTGTATAAAACACATTCCACTTTCAACACATTAGTGTTGCAGGCTGTCCACTTCCAGGTAAAGAGACTCACTAAAGAAAACAGACTTATAGTTGGATGCTCAAGGGGGGAATTGGGATGAGAAATTTGGATCTGACGCCCTGTGACCTCTATATAATTCTCTCTCGTGTGTCTAACATCTTTGAGAAAGAACATGCAGGGCAAAGATAAAGGAGAGTGGAAGATGGCCATGGATAAAAAATGTTAGCGTAGGAAACAGTGAAGGAGATTACAGAATGAGTGTGTACAATTGTAGCACAAATCCAGGAAGTGGTGTTTTTCTGAATTCAGTACAGACAAGGAGAGAACCTGTGACTGAGTAACGTTCGTGGCTTGACTGGTTGGGAGTGTCTTGACACAGCTTTCCTTCCTCACAGTTCAGCCACATTGCCATCTGGGGCAGCATCGCGCTCTGGGTGGTGTTCTTTGGAATCTACTCATCTCTGTGGCCTGCCGTTCCCATGGCTCCTGATATGTCTGGAGAGGTAATGTATGCTAATGACTCATGACCCAGCAGAACCTTAGAAGCGGGTATCCATTAATGAGCCTTCATCCTCCTCAGCACGACTTCCCATTCCGTGGGTCTCTCTTCAGCTGCCTTTGACCACCCTCAAATGCCACAGGTGGGAGAGATAAATCTCCAACCGGTATTTTAAACTTCAACATTTAACTTAAATCTGACTTATCCTTTCATAAACATAACTGGAGCGGTAAAATATGGTTGTAGGGAACTTGAGTCTTGTCATGAATACCCATATCATCTAGAAGATGCCATTTTAAGAATTAGACCATAAATCCACAAGTGCGCTTGGGATAAGAGGCTTAGGGAAGTGGTACGGCACCTTCTTTGGGACAATCTGTCATTTCTTCTGTTGTCTCTTATTCCAAAAAGAAGTCAGCCGTCCCTAGAGTAAATGCACTTTTCAAGATGTCTTAATGACATGAGTTGGACTCTCGTTTTGAAGGAATTGAGGCACGTGACATCTCAGCCTTATCATACTCCATTTTCAATTCTGTCTTTCAGTTTCTTGTTACACTGGGAAGAATTGAGTTATTAGGTGTTCATAGGGGAGTGTCAAAAGATCCCTTCCCTGCAGAAGAGGGTCCAGCAGTAGGAGGGTTTATGATTTCAATTGCAGGAAATTTGACATAAAATGTATAAAAGAAAATGTGGAAAACATTTCGGGATTTCCTGTGACCTCACAGTAACTTGCAAATCAAGGTAATGTGAGCCCCTGTTGCGGGCTGTTGTTTGGCCACAGTCACGGGAAGCCTGTCCAGTGGCTTGCATGTTTTCCCTGCCCGTAAGTCTGCTTGAGTACCCTTCACTTTTGACAGTCTGGTTTATAGATCATTTTCATGAAATTTGATCTGACAGCACCCTGCTTTTTATAAATTAACAGAACGCAGACACTTTTTCAAAAAAAAAAAAATGTGGTTAAATTTATTAGAGAGAGGCATTATCTACTATTACAGGAAGACCAGATGCGTCGACAAGCCCACTCGCCTCTCCGCCACACGTGGAGGCATCTTGTGAAACACACACACTGTGAAGCCTAGAAAATTTGCAGAATGTGTTTTAAGGAGAGCAGAGAGAAAGCTGTCAATGCGCCTCCTCTTTGCCTTGGTTCCTAAGTCTTTTTTTCCTGAGGAGCAAAATGTTCCACGCATGTGACAACATATGTCTCCAATCTCTGGTGATGCCGTGGGGGAAACCCAGTTCTGCTGTGTCCCTGGTTTGCAATGTCTGCCTGAGCCTGCTTTTCCCCAAGGTCAATTCTAACGGAACCTTTCGCTGCCCATTAAGTCCACTTCATTTACCTTATTTCTCCGTGTTTATTTTATCTTCAAAATAAGTACCACCGAAGATGTTGAGACCCCGATCATTTAAGTAACTCTGGCTAGCGGGTCTGATGACAAGAACTGAGTTTCTGACCACCTACTTCTAGGGACAAGTGTAAAGTATGGTTGGCTCCTAGCCAACCAAATATAATTCTGCCCCTGCCTGTAGAATTCCTGGTATTACCCAAACACAGACCTTAATATTGTCTCTTGAGATGCACGGCCGAGCTGTGTTTAATTCAAAGTGAAATGAATGTCAGTACTCCATCATGTTTTTGTTTCCTTCCTGCATGGTGGGAGCTGCTAATGGGAGTTCTGTTTCTTCCTACTTCATGACTACCACGACTTTGAGTCAAGTATTAACATAGCTGCAGCTTCGTTGAGAGTAGAAGGACCGAATTAGTTCAGCTGCAGGCGTGCTAGCCTGTCCAAAGCAGGTCGGCTTCGCCCATCCAAAGGAAAAGCTCGACCCTTCAGCCTTCTGCTGCACTTGGGTGCTCGGCGCAGATTTTGATGTGTGTGTACATGAGTGTCTGTGTGTTCAAGTGAACCTCCTCTCCAGCTAAGGGTTTGACAGAAATGTCACTCGTGTTGTCAAACATGGGTGGCGTCCTTCTGCTTCTTGAGCAGGAGGGTAACAGGAACCCCTGTTTGTAACATTTCCTGATAAGCACAGTCACTGGGTCGATTAAACCTCAAATCACTTCAGAGAAAAGTGATTTGAGAAAAGTGAAAAGAGAAAAGTGAAAAATTTTACAATCCTAAAATTCTGCATTTCAATCAAGACTACAGACTATATATATATATATAGATATATAGATATAGATATATGACGTTTGCATGCTTGTGCCAATGTTTTATATCTATAACAAAGCTGTGCGGAATTGGCTGGTCATCTCACAGTGTATTTATTCATCTAACATTTGTAACAAAATCATGGCAGCATATAAAGAGCAGTACACTATTGTAGGTAGTCAACACTGGCTGGCTTGACGTGTGCTATATAATAATGCACACAGTAGGCCGGGCTGTGGTGGCGCACGCCTTTAATCCCAGCACTCGGGAGGCAGAGCCAGGCGGATCTCTGTGAGTTCGAGGCCAGCCTGGACTACCAAGTGAGTCCCAGGAAAGGCGCAAAGCTACACAGAGAAACCCTGTCTCGAAAAACGGAAAAAAAAAAAGAAAAAAAAAAAAAAAAAAAATAATGCACACAGTAAAACACCACCCAGAGCAATGCCCGGAATGTGGGGATAGTTCACCTGACACCGTGTGTGTGAACTTCCCGTCACCACCAAGAGCAAGGTCACCAGTGTCTGATACGGAGACTCTACATGCCCTCCCATCCTGTCTTTCCCTGTCTCGACAGTACTTCCTTCCAAGACTCAATTTTGTAGGTAGGCGTCTTAGTTAGGGCTTCTGTTGCCATGAAGAGACAACATGAACATGGAAAACATTTATTTGGGTGGCATGCAGTTTTAGAGGTTAAGTCCATCATCATGGCAGGACATGGTGCCACCGTACAGGCAGACATGGTGCTGGAGAAGTAGTTGAACAGGCAACAGGAAGTGGTCTGTCTTACTGGGCATGGCTTGAGCATATATGAGCCCTCAAAGCCCACCCCCACACTGACACACTTCCTCCAACAAAGCCACACCTCCTATTAGTGCCACTCCCTTTGGGGGCCATTTTCCTTCGAACCACCACAGTGAGTGTGTTTTTGGTTGACGAAAAATTGAATCTAAGTAGTCTCCAAGGTGACAGAACAGAAAATTGTATGGGCAGGCTTTGGAAGCTGAGGCACTCTGTGGCCTTAAAGGGACTGTGGCTGAAAAGAAGCGCTACTCCAAAAGGTAGCCAAGATCTGGGAAACACCATGGCACCAGTGACCAGTGCTGCTGAACATGAATTCCCCCTCAGGTACTTCTCCAGGGACTGTGTGCATAGGCAGTTAGTCTAACAAACATCTACTGGGATTCCTCTGTGTCAGCCACTGTTCTAGGCACTGGATTCAGGAAGGACAGAAACCGGGCCCTCTTGCAGCTGTCTTCTCCAGTCAGAGGAGACTAGACAATAGATAAATAAATAGTGAAATGTACATGGGTAGAGAGAAGTGCAGGAGGCATGGGTACCATGTGCCTGGTTTCCCACAGAACCCTGGGGCTTTTGCTCATGGTCAGATGAGAAGCCAGTGGAGGGGTCTGCAGGTCTCCTGATCTCACTGGAACTTTGCACAAGGCTCTGACTATCATGAACCTGCATAAGGTTGTTGCAGGGAACCAGGTGAGCAATAGTGGTCTCTTGGACCAGGCGGGCAGCAGTACAGAGAAGAGGTGAGATGCGGAGAGCTTGAAGCTCTAAGTGGTGGGATTTGCAGGTAGGTGGAATATTGACTGGGAAAGGGAGCTTCAAGGCTGATTCTGCTGTTTGCTGTCAATAAAATAAGAGCTCGTTAGACATTGACTCCCTGCTTCCCATCACAACTCGTTTTAGTAGCCGATTTAAAGATGGATTAACTGGGGAGTTCAATCTGACCTCCCGTAGGAAGTGGTAAAGAGCAGGCTTACAGCAATGATGCATCTCTGGTCCTAGATGCTTGGGTAGGATGCTGTGAGTCTGCAAGGATGCCCCTTCCTGGTGGGTGTCTCGTGGATTTTCATAGGAGAGGGAACCTGTTGTCTGGTGTCCTATAGTGCTTCTTTGCCCAGGCACTGATGCCGCAAAGGCTCATTTACAGGGTCACGGCAATGAGTCCAAACGCTGCCGCCATCTTTGTTTCTGTGTTTCATCCACTCATACGGGGCAGGGTTGTCCCAGGGCCCTGTGGTCAACATTAAATGAGCACTAACTTAAACTTCTGCTGTGTGTACTGCAAACAGAAGAAAAACAGTAGGGTAGAAGTTGCAGAGAGGTAGATTTCAGCTCAGATAACTCTTTTTTCCGTTTGAGGTGGACAGATCAGGATGCTGGTCTTGCCAACATCTTGCTCGGGTGGTGGTGACCAGTTCAGTCACTAGCAACACTGAAGCAGCAACTTATCCATCCCACACCTCCATGATGCCTTCTCTCTCTCTCTCTCTCTCTCTCTCTCTCTCTCTCTCTCTCTCTCTCTCTCTCTCTCTCTCTCTCTCTCT